CCCACGCAGTGTTTCCGACGTGGTAGCTACCAACAGTTTGTCACAAACAAACCAAATTCTGTCTTGTAGCCCTGAATCTAAATTAGGTCTGATAGCGCTGGTGATGGCGGCGGGAGGGAGGGGAAGGTGGCGGGCTGACAGGGAGTGTGAGGGATCCAAGATGGCGGCATGGCGTGAGGGCAATGGTGGCAGCAGGGGCAGAACTCACCAGAAACAGCGTTTGAGGATGGATCGGCCATGGCTGCCTCAAGCAGGTGCAGTGTGGGAGCAGAGAGGATGGCTCCATGTATTCCAGTGGCAGGAGAAGCCCACAGGGCGGGAAGGGAGGTGATGGCTCCATGTTTGCCAGTGGCAGGAGCAGTTGCCCAGTGGGAGCTGTGATAGGCACAGGGCAGGTTTGCTGAAGCAAAATAATCAGAGAAACACAGAATATGCTGAATTGACCCATCAGGATCATTGAGTGCAGCTCCTGGCCGTGCACAGGACGCAAAGTCCCACCATGTGGTCAAGAGCCTTATCCAAACCCTTCTCGAATTCAGACAGACTGGCTTGTGCAGATCTGAGCAAAAACATGGCTCTATTGGGGGAAGTGTAGATCTGAGGCAAAAGAAGGATCTACTAAAGAAAAATGGTGACTCCACTACTGCTCTGGGCTGCCTGTTGCAAAGTCTGGGCATCCTTTCAGTGAAGAAATTTTCTGTAATATGCATTCTAAACCTCCCCAGTACAATTGTTTCCTCCTGTCCTGTCACATGTTACCTGAAGGCAGACACCAACAATGCTGGGGGAGAGGACGTGCTTTGCCCCCCAGAGTAAGTGACACGTGGATATCCCATCCCTAGAAGCATTCAAGGCCAGTTTGGATGGGGCTGGGAGCAACCTGGTCTAGTGAAGACGTCCCTGTCCATACCATGGACCCAGTGACCCACTGCTGCTGACCTGCTGCTCCAGCTGAAGCCCCCCCATGCCTGCCTGTCCTCTCGTGTTTGTGCTCATGAGCTCTCCTTCCACCCACACAGGGAACTATTTTTAGCAGACACTAATCAAGTGTCAGTGTTGGCTCTGAGTGTGGCTTTCAGTGGAGGGCTCCTTCTTTCACCAAGTGCTGGCAGGAACTCGGGTGTGTTTTCTTTTAAATCTGGTTGAGAATTTGCACAATGTGCTGCAGAGCAGTGGCGGTTATTTCGGGCTCATCACACCCAAGCCCACACTGAGTGATCACCAGGTGACTCCATTTTGGTGAGGGCTTGGCAGAGCATCCCCCTCCTGATCCTGCGCTGCCAGCAGCACCTGCTGGCCTTGCCTGACCCCTCAGGAGCCAGCTCCAAGTCAGGGATGCCCAGACAAGAGGTAGCTTTGCTCCTCTTGGGACGTTTGTCTCCTGCACAAAGGTGTTGGGTTGGAACTTTGAATCCTGCAGGTAACGAAAACTCTCCATGCTCAGCCCTGAAGGTCACAGCCTCCTCTGGCTGAGCCACCCCCCCCCATGTGGGGCCAGCTCCCCTTCCACTGAGGTCACCCTGCTCTGTGACAGGTCACATCCTGTTTGCTGTGTCCTGGGTCAGACACAGGACCTGCTCCTCACCATGCCTCAAGCAGCTCTGATTCAGTAAGAGCTGTGGTTGGGGTGAGCTCTGTTTCACTTTGGCTGCTGAACTCACAACAGGCACTTGGTGCTTCTTCGTGATCCGAGCTGAACCTCATAGAATCACCTGAGTTAGAAGAGACCCACAAGGATCATCGAGTCCAGCTCCTGGCCCTGCACAGGACACCCCAACAATCCCATCATGTGCCTCATATTCTTGTCTAAATATTCCTTGAGCTCTGGCAGCCTTGGGACTGTGACCACTGCCATGGGGATCTTGTTTAGTGCCCAACCACCCTCTGGGGGGAAGAACCTTTTCCTAATATCCAACCTAAAACATCCCATGACACAGCTCCAGATGTTCCCTCAGGTCCTGCACCTGGTCATATGCAGAGATCAGGGACTGCCCCTCCACCTCCCTCAGGAGGAAGCTGCAGATCATGACAGTTTCTCCCCTCAGTCTCCTCCATTCTGAACAAACCAAGTGACCTCAGCTGCTCCCCATATGGCTTTCCCTCCAGATCCTTCATCATCCTTGTGCAGCTCCTTTGGGCACTCCAGAAGAGCTTTGGTTTCCCTTCAGGCAGGAGGAACTGCCTCTGGCACCAAGTCTTCCTTTGGATTGAAGGTGTGGTATTCTTGACCTCCCACCACTGCTCATGGCATCTCCCCTCCCAGGACTGAAGTCTTGAAGGGTCACAAATACCTCTAGTCACCCATGGGAAATAACAAAGAATGGCTCAGTTCAAGAAAACCAGAGAAAAAATTTATTATTGTTCTTTATAAAATATCTCCAATAAGTTATATAGGCAAATATTTAAATTAAAATAAATTAACTCCGCTCTATGCTGGGACACGCAACTGCCCATAAAGTCAAACTAGGATTTACGTTTCTCTGAAAAAATATGCCCTAGATCTCCGATGTAAGATTTGAAAAAAATATCTATGCTTGGTGAGAGGAAGGAGAAATCTGCACTGGACAGAGGGGTTAAGGTGCGGTGCTGAAGCTGCCTGGTGCCAGAGGCACCTCCACATCCAGCTAAGTGCTGAGAGCATCCTCATCGTCACTCCAGTCAGGAGGAGCGTCTGTCCCGAAGTACCGATCTCCAAAATTCCCTGTGGGGAGACAGAGAGTCAGAGTGCAGCAATGTGGGAGCCTAAAGACCCATCCTGCTGCCTGTCCTCATCACAGCAGGCAAGGGGACCAGAGCAGGTTTATGTGACAGCTTGAGTGGCAGCAAAAGTGGAGCAGCCTGTAGGCTGGCTTACCACCCAGTGGAAGGTGTTTCCTGGCACAGTAGAGGTGAGGACAGAACACAGTGAGCTTATTTTGGGTGAACTTGTGGAAGGTGGCAGTTTAAGGAAGGAGTGGGCACAAGGCTGCTCCAGCTGTCCCGGCCTGACTTCTCTGCCTGGGGCTGGAGGAGGCTCATGGCATGGGGAATGGCTCCTGCTGCTGACACAGCAATGGCTGCCCTGCAGCCCCCAGACCCAGCATGGTGATCCTGACACCCAGCTGGCAGCAGGACCCACAAGGGCAGTGGGGCTCTGGGTAATTTGAGGCCAGACCTAAACTGCTGCTGACAACCATGTCCCCTCCTAACCAGCAGCACTGAAATTCCCCTCAGCACAAGTCCTTCCTAGCAGGACACTCACCAATGCCGGGGATTATCCGAAAGAGGTCATTCACCTTCTTGTCCACAGCTGTGGTGATGATCTTCACCCGGGGGAATGCATAGGCCACCGAGTGGACACCCATCTCTGCCATGAGCAGGGACAGCAGGAAGATCTTATCCTCTGGGACATCATGATCCTAAGGAAATGCACAGGAACAGCTCAGGGTGAGTTACCCCAGCCTGTGCTGCGTGCCCTGGCACCCTCCTTCCCACAAAGGAGCCGGTTGCAGGCACATCCCCTCAGCTTGGCTGTGGCTGGTGCTTTGCAGGTTGCTCCAGAGCAAACCCCTGCCTGACCCGTCCGTACCAGCAGCACCCTCACTGCCATCATGGCTGCAGCGCCCGTGGAGACTGTGCAGTCCATCAGGATGACGTGGTCTTCGCTGATGTCCTTCGGCAGCCGCAGGTAGTGGAGCTGGGTGGAGGAGAGAGAGAGCAGCTTAGAGGCTGCAGGCAAATGGAACAACCTGAGCCCTTCTCTTTGAGGAGTGAAGATCTCTCCTGCCTGTCAGTTCAGAGCCAGCACAAACCAGCCCCTGTGTGCACAAGCCTGCTGGCAAAACCCACCTGAGCAGATTTCAAAGCACTCAACCCTGCCAAGACAAACTGCTGGGTCACTGAAGGGCTGTCAGAAAACACCTGAGCCACAGCCCCACCCTACACACAGGTTAACACCAGGAGATGTCCTGAGCAGCCCAGGGCTTTACCTCTGGCTCGCCGGTGTTGCAGTTGGTCTGGATGAGGATGGTGCCGATGCGGACGTCCTTGCACACCGCGCGCAGCGCCGGCTCCATGGTCTCCCCTGCCCGCAGGATGGACACCCCGGTGATCTGCAGCACATGCACGGGGTGGTTACACAGGGTAGGAGCTGCCACCACCCCACACTGGGTCTCAGCAGCGGGGGACTCTAATGAGCAATCTTAAAGCACATCCCTTCCAAGAGGGCAGCGCCACTCCCAGGCCACCCTCAGTGAGAGGGCATGGGCAGCACAGTGACACTGCTGATGGCACCCTTGGTCACCAGCCTGCCTTTCCTGGTGGTACAGGGTGTCATACTCATGATAGCAGGCACCAAACCCAGCCTGATGGCAGCCAGGGCTTCCAGTGCACCCCCACAAGGCAGGTCTCAATGGCTTCCACTTACTTGCTTCCCGCTGTATGTCCTCCCTTCGTAGTCGTGTCCCTGAGGGGTCTGGACTGTGCAACTCTACAAAAAACATGTGAGAAGAGTTACCAGGGGCTCTGAGGTGGCTCTCATGGGAGCCCTGGAGTCAGCAAGCCACAGGGGCTGGACTCTTGGACACCAAAGCTGTCACCCAGGGCCACAGCATTGCTCCATGGCCTTGGGGAGTCCTGGTGCATTTTAATCTGAGGATTGAAAGGACTGGTCCATGGGGAAGGTTGGAGGAGCAGCACCAGGACTGTCCTGGCTCCCCAGCAGTTGAGGGTCAGGAATCAGTGAGGAAACCCAGCACCTATAGCCTTGAACCTACCTGGAATGGGAGCAGGGAGAGTGCGTGCTCAATCAGCAACCGCATCAACCTTTTGGAGTAGAAAATGAACTCGTCTCTGCTGGTCTCCTTGTTTCTAGAGGGGAGGGAAAGGCAACGTCAGCTCTGGACCAAAATGTGTCCCAGAAGATGCTGGCAGAAGTCTGTCAGTCCCTGCCCCTTCCTGGTCCTTGTTTGCACCATCTAAGCCTGAAACTGTGCTGTCTGTTTCAAGGTAAAAAGCAGAAAAACTGTTGGCAAGATCACTGAGCAGTAACTGCACAGCTCCCCTGTGCAGGGGCCACCACTTGTATCTCCAAGCCATACCGACAGGCAAAAGTGGGATTGGGAAGCCCAAAGACAGGCCAGCCCATCCCATCAGCAGCTGAGCCCCATCCCACCCCAGGAGCCACAGCAGGGGCTTTACCTGATGATGGTGTGCATGCCCCTCACCTGAGGGGTGCTCTTCAGCACACTGAGGGTCTGAGGAAGGGGGTGGCACTGGTGGGCAGAGGCCAGGGCAGCCCTGAAAACCAAACACATGGTCAGAAGGTCTGGGGAAGGCTACCCAAAGGCTGGAGCACAGCACATGGCCAGAGCCATCCTCCCAGATGTCATCTCACACTGCAAACACACACAGAGGCCATCCAGCTGAGCCCAGTGAGCAGCCAGCCCTGCAAAGGGACCTGCACCCACAAACCAGGGCCACTGGAGTTAGGGTGACCTTGCAGCACAAGGACCTGCCCTTCCTGCTGGACAGCTCACCCAGGATCATAGAGTGGTTTGGGTTGGAAAGGACTTTAAAGACCATCTTGTTCCAGCCCTGTGCCATGGGCAGGGACGCCTTCCACTAGACCAGGTTAATCCAGGCCTCATCCAACCTGGCCTTGAACACTTCTAGGGATGGGGCAGCCACAGCTTCTCTGAACGTGGCCGGACCATCTTGCTTTCCACTGTTTGAGAAAAAAGCAGAAAATAAAATCTAAACCTTCTCCTATTCCAGAGTCTTATCTATTGGTGGATCTTGAACTCATGGGGTGAGGAGGGGCTGTTGTGCCTGTCTCTGACCTACAAGTGCCAGATGCCACGAGGAACTGGACAGGCAGCCAGGCTGGCACATATCTGGAATGTGACTATTTTAGAGACCACTTGGGCCATTCCAAATTGGGAACAGCTTCAAGACCTTATGGCTGGCCAGGACTGGCTCTGTGTGACTCATTCCACATAACGAATAGGGCTGGGAGCTATTCTGGGATCAAGGGAACACCATTCACAGGGAAGTGCACAATGGAGCCCCATTAGTCACTTCTCCCTGTGAGAGTGGCAGTAATGAGAAGAAGGTCACATTTGGCTTCCACAAGGCTGGGCAGGATGGACAAGCAACTTTGTCTGGGAGGAGGGCTGGGGTTGCAAAGCCACACGTCAGATCACACACGTGCCAGTGGCTGCATCCAGCAAAAAACACAGAGATGTCAGGGAGGCAGAGAAGAGAGCAAATGAAAGCACTGCATGATTAAGATTTCAAATCAAGCAGAAACCTGGATTAATGGCACACAAAGGCACGCAAGCAGAGAGGAAGATAGAGAAGATGGACAGGCATGGAGGAGGGCAGAGCTTGAGGCCTCCATCCACACAGCCATCTCCTGGTCTTGGCCAACCAACACCAAATGAGACATTCCCAAGGCCTCTGGGTACTTAAGGGCTCCTTCTTGCTTTACCAGCTCCACTGCTCTGTAGCAGCCAAGAGCCCCATGCAGGGAACACTCCAGCACAGCTGGCAGCCATGCAGAGAGCATGGATGGGTTGTGGTTCCCTCGTGGGCTTGCCTGCTGTGTGCAGACCCCATTGCTGGTTGGGACAAGCAGCCCTCAAGGCCCAGCCCTGCTGTCAGTGAAGCAAGCTCACTCTGTTAGTTGCTGTCTCATGGGTTAGAAGCCCTTGGAGATGCTCCCTGCTGGCAGCACCCACAGCTCTGCCCCCACAGCCCTGGCTTCCCTCTCCTGACAGAGCCTGGGACAGATCCTAGGGGTACAGCCCTGCCTAAACCCCTCTCAGCCCCCAGGATTCCAATATATGTGGTGGTGAGGGTCTTGTGCAGATGCTGGTGCTGGCATGGGGGCTGCCAGCTCATCTGCTTTAAGGGGCAGAGCCAGGCCCCCAACACAGAGCCACACACCCACACATGGCCCTGGCTGGGTTTGCCCAGGTGACAAACTGCTGCTGCCTAAACCAGAGGAGCTGGTAATTACAGGACTGAGCTTGCCACTGGCACTTTCCCCCTCCATCACTGCCAGGTCCATGTCAGTGGAATGGGCAGCATCCCACCATGCCAGTGGAATGGGCAGCCTCTCTCCTGTCACAGTGTGACCTGACTCCTGCTCCCTGCCACGGATAGCAAGGGTTTTCCAACCTCCATGAGCAGTGGGAACTCCTCCCCAGCATCCTGAGCTGTCAACAGACCCCCAAGAAATGCTGTCAGCATTCTGTCATCAAGTTTTCCCCACCTCCCCTGCAGTGTGGGGACAGGGAGGTCTGGACACCACCCTGCTTGGAAGCCACTCAGTGTTGTGAGGGTCTCCCCATGGTGCTTTCTGGGGAAACAGCTCCCATTTTTGGGATAAAGCTTCTCTTTCAAGTGCCCCCACCTCTGTCTGGCCCACCCACAGCCCCAGCAAAGCAGGACCCCACGAGCTGTGTGCCCCAGGATGCCCTGGCAGGGTTAGTGAGGCAGCTCACCCTGCACAGCCCTCACCCATCCCTGCTGTTAGTCACAACCAAACACTGCCAAAAGCATTTGTCTCCTCACATATCCCAGCGCAGCTTCCTCTGGTCACCCGGTGGGAGGGATGTTCAGGGGAGACAAGACAGGAGACACCAGAGTTTAAGAGGAAAGGGACAAACATGACATGAAACAGAGGAGAAAGCACTGTCATTAGTCAGAGGGGGAAAAAATCCCCTAATTGATCAATGGCTCGTGGACCTGCACTGTGCAGACACAGCACTCCTCCCCTGGTGACCAAGGCATGTCACCACTGCTCTCCATGGCACTGGCTCCACTCCTGGCTCCATGAGGGAAAGGAACTGTCTGCTCTCAGTGTCCTGGAGCCACAGCAGGGACACTGTCCCACCTGTGTCCCAGGTAGTACCACACTGCAACCGGGGCTCTTGGAGTTTGGAGGGACATAGAACCACAGAATGCTAGAATGATTTGGATGAGAAGGAACCTCAAAGATAGCTCATTCCGCCTTCCCTGCCATGGGCAGGGACAGCTTCCACTAGAGCAGGTTGCTCCAAGCCCCATCCAGCTTGGTTCTCAACACTTCCAGGGCTCATGCCACGCCCTCAACTGAGGGCTCCAATGCAGTCTCAGAGCAAGCACAGGCACTCAAGGCCAAAAACCTTTGTCCAACCTAAAAATCCTTCTTCCAACCTGCCCTGCTCCCAAGAAAAATGCTTGTGGGCTGCCAGGGGGGTCCCCATCCTGCATGATGATGATCTCCAAGCTTTGGAGAACACTGAAAGCCAAGAGCACTGGAAATGTGGAGAGAAACCTGAACAGAACATCACCTGCAGGGACGACTTTCTTTCCCCCTGGGCTCACCTGGACCTGCCCTGGGTCTCCATGACTGGAGAGGGCCTGCAGGCTGAGGAAGAGCTCAGCCCTTCCAGCAGCCATCCCCTGTGTCACCCCCTGTCCATCCTGGAGGGAAGGAGGGACTGTGATGCCTCCTGTCCCTCCCTGCCAACGCCGGACTGTGACGGAACATCCAGACGGGCAGCCATGAGCACGTCAAGAAAACGTCTTATTTTGGAAACTTATTTTTTCCCCCTGAGAACAAAGGCTTTAAAGAGAAAATAAAATAGAAAGAAGAAGAAAGAGAGAAAGAGAGAGAGAGAGGGAGAAAGGGGTGACCATCTCCCAGGAAGGCTTCAGGGAGCATCCTTGGCTCTTTGTGGAACATGCTATCGAGCAGGAAGCAGACAAGAGACATCCAGCTACAAAGGAGATGATGCAGTCAAGGCATTTCAAACACGTACACGGCTGCCTTTCAGGGCTGACATTTCAAACAAGGGCTATTAAACTGCGCCACGGGTTGATATTTAAAGACACAATTGGCAAAGGGCACGCCAAGCTGATCGGGACCTTGGGGGTGGGGAATATTGATTGGCCAGGGGAACGGGCTGCAAAGAGCGGCGGCTCCAGGAGCGGGGCTGGATGCTGAGAGCGTGGCAGGAGGGATGGAGAGCAGGCTGGGCTGGGAGCACTGAGCCTCAGCATGGGCTGGCTGCTCCAGCTCCTGCTGCCAGGCTCCTGGAGGAACACCCACCCGGGAGTGCTGGTATGGAACCACAACTCCAGAGTGAGCACAGTCAAACGGGGGGAAGCTGGACAAGAAATATGCTAAGAATGCTAAGGTCCAAGCTGTGCTCTGAGGGATTAACTGGGAAGGCAAGCATGCTCCTCAGGAGCCAGTGGCTTCAGAATGAAAAGAAGCCTTGCATGTCCAAGGAAGGCATCACTTGCTTTAAACCCCCCAGAATTCACCCACCTGAGTGGGGAAAAGCACTCCCTGCCTGTCCCAGCCAGTTGCTTGGCAAGGAGAGGCAGCCCTGGAGCACAAGGACCACAGAGACACCTGGGACTGGGGCCAGATCTGAGCATTCAGGGTTTATCCTACCAGCACAAAGCCCTCCCTGTGTCCCCACCACTGCCAAACAGCAGTGACTTCAGAACAACCGTGACATTTAGATGGAGCCATTCCAGACAAGAGGATGGGGAATTGTTTGTGATGAAAAGCCCATGTTTGCCAGGCACATCTCACTCGATGTGATCCTCCATCCACCCCTCTCCTCTTGCAGAGGCAGCAGGGCTGGGGGACACAGCAGCAGTAAAGCACTGGGGCTCCAGCAGCAGCAACGGATTTGGGTTTTAGCAGGAATTTTTTCCCAGATTTTCTGTCAAAGGCATAAATGGAAGCTTTAAACAGAACATAAAACCACCTGTGAGTGTGGTGATCATGGAGGTGTTTCTGGAGGTCAGAGTTACCTTTTCAAACTTGCCATCATAAAACTTCTAATACTTTATGGATATATTAAATATCCAATTTTTAAGTGCAGAAGAATATCACTTGTACTGAGCAACCCTTAGATTAAGGAAGAGAAAGGAAATTTTATGTGTGTTTAAGTACCTATCTGTCTCTGTATACACATATCTATTTGCACACATATTAGTCTCCTCTCTGATGTTATTCCTGCCATTATTAAAGCCACAAATTTCTCTTCATACTAAAGAGCACTTTCCCACCTGGACCTCCAGACACAGAGGGAAGCTTACGTGTCTGTATGGAAATATCAGGCCCCAGGGTGTTAAACAAGCAAAGGGAAATAAAATAAAACATCCACTTGTCTAGTCTAGGAAGTGACTGGCTGAGGCAGAAATAAGTAAAGCAGAGCCCCTTCCATGTTCATCTCAGTTATTTTAAAAGCTCATTGTACGCCAAATGTAAATCTTAAGGTTACTTGAGTTGAGTGTCTCCATGCAATGATGGAGATCTAAATGGAAACCCATCTTCAGTAATGCATTCCCTCTGCTCCCTGAAAGAATACCTGAAAGCCTAGGTGGCTTCTTAATGGAAGCAGGAGAGCTGAAGTCCCATCTGGGGCCCCATGCTGAAGAGGTTAAGTAATTCAACATATATGTTATAGCATCCAACTGCAGATACTGAGAATTTAGAAATCCAGCTGGACTTAGGCAGCAGGATTTTCTCAGTCCTCCAGAAAAGGTTCTGCATTCTGCAGAAGCTGTGGGAAGTTGGTACCTCTGGCCATGCAAAGGTGCTAAGCTCCTTTGGGTGCCTCCAGGCAGATCCCTGTGCACAGTGAGGGGCTCAGGGCTCCCACCACCCTCAGAATCAGACTGGTTTGGGCTGGGAGAAACCTCAAAGACCATCTTATTCCAACCCCATGCCAAAGGCAGGGACACCTCCCACTATCCCAAGGTACTCCCAGCCCCATCCAGCCTGGCCTTGGGCACTTCCAGGGATGGGGCAGCCACAGCTTCTGTGGGCACTCTGTGCCAAGGCCTCAGCACCCTCACAGGGGAGAATTCCTTCCTATTACCCAATCTAAATTTCTCCTCCTTTAGTTTAAAACTGGTCCCTATCATACTATGACTATCTGCCCATTTAAAAAGTCACTCTCTATCTTTTTCTCAAGATGCTTTGACTAATCTAATAATTGATATTTAATGATCTTTAATCATCAGGGGTGGAGAGCGGCTCTGAAAATCATTCATTTTAGAGGATGAAGAGAAACAAAAGAGAATCTCAGGATGCAAAGCAGAGACTGGGGACCCCCAGCTACAAACCTGGCCCTGGCCCAGCCTCAGGGGTCTGCACTCAGGCTGGCAGTACCTCCCTGGGGAGCAGCCCTGTCCCTGTCATCCCACAGCCAAGGGAAGGTGGCCTTTTGTCACCGTGGGGTGACAAGGCCATGCACTCTGCCAGTCCTGCCGTGGGTGGGGGTGAGGCCAAGCAGTGCCTGGCATTGGAAATGCCTGGGCTGCACACACAGGACACAGTGAGGGCTCTTACCTGACACTGAGTTCACGCTGCGGCAGCAACACAAAGACACAACGCAACCGGTATTAAGCATTGTCAACACCAGGGTCGTTTCAAGATAAAAAAAAAGGAAAAATAGGAGTATTTTCCTGAATTCACATGCAGCCTTTTTGCCCTTCTTCCCCTCCCCAGGTCAGGACAGCCCTCCCCAAGCCAACCCCTTGCCTGGCTCGCAGAGGCACCCTGGGGGTGCTGGGCTTGCTCTGGAATTCCCTGGCTGGATCCAGGAGCTGGGGAAACAGCCATTCCCCTCTCCTGCACTCTGCCTCAGGGCTGGGTGCCCTTCTCAGCCTGGCACCAGCACAGATGCTGGGGCTTCCAGCCTTCTTCCTGTGACCGAGGGTTTAGAAACCACCTTCCCAACCAGAGTCTGGTGCTGGGAATTCAGGCAGCCATGTACTCCAGGAGGAGGAAACTGCCAAGACACCTTTGCAAGAGCAGTCTCGCCTGAGCAGGCATGGGAAGCTGGATCCAAGGCATGCCAGCTCCCATCCCAGGGCTGAGCAGCTCCTGCCACCTGGGAGCTCCAAAAAAGACTTGAAAGAATCAAGCCCTTTACTTTCCAGTGCATCTATACCCAGGTCACACTCGCTGCACTTCCCAGGACATCACTCTGAGCATTTCCATGACTGAAACATCACCAAAGCTGTGGGGTGGGGGGAGACTGTGCTGCTCGGGGACAGCAACACAAAATGCCATCAGTTCATTGCAGAGTCCCAAACCACTGGTCAGGACTGGCCCAGGATCAACAGGAGAAGACTTAAAGCCAGCAGTGGGGAAGTGATGAAGCACGTGCCTGGACTGGGGCTCAAACATGACAAGACTTTGAGTTTTGAAACCCAGGAGCTGCACACAGCACAGAAGAGAAGTGGGCTCCTGACTGGAAAGACTGTGCAGCAGTGTCTGTATGGGAGGGAAGAGGAGAAGCCCAAGAGCAGTGGAGGGTTTGGGGCAATGCTGGCCCTGGGAGGGCTGCAGGCAGGGGGACACATCCTTTGGGTCACAGGAGGGTGTCTGGTTTGTCCCCTCATGACTTGCTGTCCCAGGGAGGGAAGGAAGCTGCAGCTGGACCACAGCTGGCAGAGGAGCCAGGACTGACCAGAGCACAGGGAGAAGGCAGTTTCCTTCACTGGGCTGGGAGGAGTTCATAGGAACTCCCACACCTGGAGCACAGGAGCAGCCAGGCCATTCCCACCTGGGCACCCAGAGCACAGCAAGGCTGTGAACCCCCCTCACCCCCCACGGACCGGGCAGCTCTCACCTCCTCCAGCTGGCTGTGGACGTGCTGAACAATCAGGTCGATGGCCACAGTGTTTCCACTCCCTGGAGTGAGCCAAAAGCAAAAAAAAAAAAAATCACAGAATCAGGATTGTAAAGGTTGGAAAAGCCCTCTAAGATTGAGTTCAACCATTAAATCAGCACTGCCAAGCCCCACCACTAAACCATGTCTGTTAGGGTTACACCTGGGGTTAGGGTTCAGGAAACCACAAAGCCCAGAGTTCCAGGAGCTCTGCAGCTACAAAAGGCATGCCAAGGGGAACACAGGAGTGCCACACCATGGCTGCCCCCACATCCATCTGCTTGGCACCAACCCCATGACGGCTCCACTGCTCTGCCCATGGTTAGGGGTCAGCAAACCCCAAAGCCCAGAGCTGAGGGCAGGGGGCTGTGGGGTCTCAGTGCTGTCAGGGGTGCCCTGGGCAGTACCTCGGGGCACCACGATGTCTGCCAGCCTCATGGTGGGCTGGATGTACTGGTCGAAGGCAGGCTTGACAAACTTGTTGTACTGCTTGATGACGCCCTCGATGTCGCGGCCCCGCTCGCTGATGTCCCTGCGCAGGCGCCGCACCAGGCGGATGTCCGAGTCCGTGTCCACAAAAATCTTCAGATCCAAGAGCTGGAAGGAGAGAGGAGAGGACAAATCCCACCTGGTCAGGTGTGGGACTCAACCCACCTTTCCCTGTTACCCCAAGCAGGGCTGAGCCCAGCCCAGCACGTGTTTAACAGGGCCTGGCTCTGCTCTGCTTTTCCCTGGTGCTGGTGCTGCTGTGAGCTCCCTGCTGCCACCTTACTCTTGTGTCCCCTGAGACCTGTCCTGCTCCAAACTCTGCCCCTCCTGCCAACCTAACCCTAACCCCTAATCCAGCTCCAACACTTTGGCTGGATGTTATTTAAGAGTGAAGAGGAGATGAGGAGTTACTGTCCGTGACACACACCAAGCACTGGCTTCTCAATCAAAGAATCCTTGGATGGTTTGAATTGGAAAGGACTTTAAAGATCATCTCATTGCAAGCCTCTCCCACAGGCAGGGAATTAATGCTGGAAAGGAGCCCAGCACAGCAGGGCAGCTCATGACTCTGCCCTTAGCTGCAAGACGCAGGAGTGGGGATGCTGAGTGGAGTCTCCTGGGGGATTAACCCGGCTGTCCACTGGAGGTCATCCTTGCTCCAGGAAAGTGCAAAACCCAAGCTCTCACTTGGCAGGCGAGGAAACTTTTCAGACAAGCTTGGCTAAGCCTGTGTATGGCTCACTGCCTGCTGCAGCATTTGTCAGGGCTGCAAAGATGCTCTGAGGGATGGAGACAGACTGAGAGAGCTGTACAGCCTGGAGAAGAGAAGGCTCTGGAGAGACTCAGAGCCCCTTCCAGTATCCAAAGAAGCTCCAAGAGAGCTGGAGAAGGACTTTGGACAAGGGCTTGCAATGACAGAACAAGGGGAAGTGGCTTCACAATGCCAGAGGGAAGGGTTAGATGGGATATTGAGAGGAAATATGTCCCTGTGAAGGTGGTGAGGCCCTGGCACAGAGTGCCCAGAGAAACTGTGGCTGCCCCATCCCTGGAACTGTTCATGGCCAGGTTGGACAGGGCTTGGAGCAACCTGGTCTCGTGGAAGTTGTCCCTGCCCATGGCAGGGGGTGGAACAAGATGAGCATTAAGGTCCCTTCCAACCCAAACCATTCTGTGATCCTATGATATATCCAAATAATCCCCAAGAGAGGCTGAAGTGCTGGATGATTCCATGCTAGGAACACCAGGCTCTGTGCAGCAGAAGTTCAGCAGACTTTGCCTCTCTGGCTGTGCAAGCTGCAGCATGCAGTGGAGGTGGGCTGTTTCTAGCTGTGTTTGTGCACCAGCTGAGATTGAGGCATTTGCTGAAACACTTGACCTCTGCCAGGGGCTCTTCCCCAGCTGCTGAGAGTCAAACCCTATTTCTCCTACCTGGGGAAGTGCTGCAGCATCTGGTGTAACCTGGAAGAGAAGATTCCACCCTCTCTCCCTGGAACTGCCACAAAACCTTTCCTCACCTTCAGGAGCTCCTTGTCTGCAAATGCCATGATGCCTTCAAAGATGATCACATTGGCACCATACAGGGTTTTCTGTGGAGTCAAAATGGATGTGGTTAGGCACAGAACATCTGGTCAGAGGTGCCCTGTGCCAGGAGATCTCTCTGGGTTGTGACTGTGACAGCTCACCCAAAAAACCACCCAGGCAGAGAGCAGGGGGTGACAGCACCAATCAGACTGCACAGGCCAGGGGCTGGAGGGGGGCAGTTGGCTCCTCTCGGTCCTGGCCTGGCCATCCCCATCCTGTCCCACCCCCCTCAGTGTCCCATACCCATTCCTTCTTCCTGCTGTGGGTGGTGAAGTCGTAGATGGGGATCTTGACACTCTTGCCTTGCTTCAGCTTCTTCAGGGTGGCGATGATGAGGTCGAAGTCGAAGGCGTCGGGGTGGTCAAAGTTGAAGTCGTTGCTGGCTGCCTGCTCCTGCTGCTGCTTGGTCAGCACCTGCCACAGAGCACAGCTTGGGGCACATGGCAGGGCAGCTCCCTCCCTCTGCTGTGCCCAGTCACTCTTCCCTGCCCCACAAGAGCCACTGGAAGGGAGAACCACATGGCTGTGCCTAAATCTACAACGTGTTTCCTCACCAGGGTTACCACATAATCCCAGATTGGTATGGGTTGGAAGGAGCCTTAAAACTGATCTCATTCTGACCCCCTGCCATAGGCAGGGACACCTTCCACTAGAACAGATTGCTCTAGGCCCTGTCAAACATGGTCTTGAACATCTCCAGGAATGGGGCAACCACAGATTCCCTGGGCAGCAGCAAATTGAGGAGTCTGGCCAGGCCAACAGGGGTGCAGCCTCACCTTGTAGAAGGAGTCCATGGACAGCAGAACCACCCATGGCACATCAAGAGCTTCAATGATCATGGTGGCCACTGTGGTCTTCCCAGAGGCGCTGCCTCCTCCCAGGCCTGCCAGGGAAAAGGTGATGAAGCCACCAAGCCCAGGCACAGCCCTTCCCTTCCCACCACAGGCTGAAGCCCAGGTCCTGCCAGGGAAAAGATGGTGAAGCCACCAAGCCCAGGCACAGCCCTTCCCACCACAGGCTGGAGCCCAGGTCCTGCATGGTTGCACCAAGCTGGAGGGACCTCCAAAGAGGGAAGTCACAGGCACTCCAAGCGATTATCCTGGAAAATGTCAAATGGAATGTATTGGAACTGCCAGCAACGTGCCCAGCAAAAGCCGGGAAACCCATTGTTAGGTGGCTATGTAACATGGGGAGTGCTGGCATGGGATCCAATCCAGAATCCCTAAGAACCTGTGACAGCCCAGGCAACAGGAGATGAGGGAACAAGAAGCAGAGCAAGATCTCCTACAACCCATGCACACTCTGGGCTTCAGCCCCCCCAGTCAATGCAGGCCTAACCCACAGGCACTCCCCTGCTCCTCTCCAGCCTGGAGCCAACCTCCGATTCCCAAGGATGTGGTGGGGCAGGACTCGTACTGAGACCTCCAGGAGAGCCATGGGGCAGGTGGCAGGTGCAGAGGGGACCCACCTATGACAAAGGCCTCCTTGGACTGCGTGCCATGCTCGTTGTACCAGGGGGGCCGGCCTGCAGTGTAGATGGTTCTCTTGCTGGTGCGCAGCAGCGGCGGCTCCGACTTGCACTGGCTGGTGGTGCGCTTGCGGGGCGGCTTGGAGGAGCCCACGGCGGGGTACAGCCTGTCCAGGGACTCTGCACTGCTGCTGCTGCGTGGGGAGAGAGGGGAAAATTACCCTGTGGGGGGAGGATACACCTGCCTGGGTGTGGGAGCGGGGTCTTGGAGGGTTCTGAGTTGTGCAGGTGAAGTCAGCCAAGTGCAGGTGAAGTCAGCCAAGTGCAGGTGAAGTCAGCCAAGCACAGCCCCACTACCAGCACCCACAGCCTCGGACAACACCAAGGAATTCTCACACAGAAGCAATATGAACCTGGAAGAGGTGCCATGCAAACATCCATGCCTAAAGTCCTGCTGTCTGAGGAATGTCTGTATGAAAGAAATCCCCCAGTGAGCTCCCAAAGCATTGAGGGGTGTGTTCCAGGGGGCAACAACCCACTCTGGTGTGCCCAGGGTTAGCAGTTAAACACATGGGTTACAGCACAACCATCCTCATCCTCCCATCCCCAATCCCTTTCCTCTGCCCACTCTGAGGGCTCCACTCACACCCTAGACATAGCTCTCCCAAGCTTCTGGAGTCCCCAGGGACAAGCCTGCAAGCTGGGCAGAGCCATCAGCTTTGCCTTGGGAGCTGAGAGAGCTCTGAGCTCACCCAAAGCCCTGAACTGCTGAACACTCTCCCTTATCTTCCCTGCAGGAGAGGAACAAGGCACCCTCCAGAGCCCTTTCCAGCTTGGCAGGAGGAGAGCTGTGGCCTGGAGGTGATAAGTGGCCTCTGGCCAGGAGATAAGCTGCAGCCGCTGCCTGGCCAGCCAAGGGACAGGGAGGATTATTTATACCAGTGCCTGCTCCTCCCTGCTCCTGTTCTGCTGCCCCAAAGGGATGTCTGCTCCCTGGGAGAAAGTGCAAAGGGCTCTCCTGGCTCCTGCTGTTCCTCTCCCCAGCCATGACTGGGCACTGGAAGGGAAATCAATAGATCTGGGCACCACTGGCTCCAAGCCGTCACTGTTTGGTACAGCCCAGCCAGCAGGGCTTTGCTGCTGCTCTGTTATGGCTTGCTCTGGAAAGGGCTTAAACTGCAGGGCTTTACAGATTTTGGGTTAGTTTTAAGCTGTTTTGGTATGAAGATTAATTCCTTTCCCTCCCCCAGCCCTTTTCAGAACAATTTTAGATAAAGATCAAAATTTCAGAAGGGCCAGCTGTGTGTGAAGTGACACGGCAACCCCCAACCCTGCATGGCACACAAACCCCCCGGGCACTGCAGGATCCCCCTGGCATGGCAGGATGCCCAGAGCACACCATCCCTACCCCTGGCACATCCCTGTGGGGCAGGCAAGGAGACAGGGATTTGCCTGGCTTTGCTCCTGCTGGCAAAAGCCAGGCTGCAGCTCCTGCCCATGACAGGAGCTCTCCCACCGATGCCCACCCTGAGCTGGGCACTCATGGAGCTCCCCACAAGAGCTCAGGACACCAACACCCCATCCCTGGCACACAGAGCCAGCTCCAAGCACTGCCAGGCTCAGACTCAACCAGGAGCCCAAAACATCCCAAGTACAACTCTTTAAAAGCAACCTCAGGAGATGACACCCATCAGGAAACAGAAAAAATGGCTCCTTCTATGAGGAGAAGCAAACCCGGGGGGATGTCTGGGTCTCCTGTCCCACGGGTGATGCTGCAGCAGCTGCTGCCCACCGGGGCTGCCAGCAGGGGCTGGTGCTGGGGCACAAACAACGTCACTTCAGCTGGATGAAAGCAGAGGTGACACAAACACAGTTGTTTACCACAGCAGGAAGCGGCTCCTTTCATCCACATCCCAGCCCCTCCCCTGGGACCGTGCTCACTCCAGAGCCCGAGCTCGGCTGCTGCTCCTGTGGGACTGCACGTCAGCCTCCGTGAGACAGGAGAGCCCCTGGGGCTGCTCTGCCCCTTGGCTGGTGCCACACAGCACCCAGCTCTGCTGTGCCAGCCTGCACATCCTGACCCAGGCCACCAGCCCCAAAGTGACTCCGAGGTGGATGAAGTTCTGTTTTTCAGAGGTGGAGCCCTGCTCCCAGAAGCATCAACATCACCCACACAGGGAGGAAGAGGCTTGGACTCCAACAGCTCCACCAGGGTCCAGAATTACAGCCACAGCCCCACCTTGCCTTCCCATCATCTCTCCATTCTGCTCTCACTGCCTGCAGCACACCCAGTGAAGGACATTGCTGCAGGATGCAGGGACACACCCCTGGAGAGGAGTGGAGTCATCCTCCCCCTGCACAGCTGGGGCTCCAGCACTTGAATCCCATCCCAAGAGTTGGTGCTCTGCCTTATCTCATCCATATAATTCTGGACTTTCACCAAAATTCTACACATTTCTATCAGTATCACCTAAACCTGTACCTCTACGCCTCATCCACATCTGTATCCTCTACAGGCAGATGACATTCTACACCTCTCAAGTCCACAATTCCCATGATTTATTTGGGAGAAGTATGGCTGTGGGACTGAAGGGCTGCCCTGGAGTTCTCCAAAGGTCATGCCTTTTCTCCTAAGGTTACACTTCAAGATTTGTAGATGTTTTCCATGGCTGCCTTTGCCAGGAAGGGGCTCTTCTTGCTCCAAGGGTTTGGCTGATTTCAGCCATCCCCACTGGCCATTCCTCCCTACTCCTTTTCAGAAATTCCCTGCAGCAGTGCTGGAGCCCCTGCAATGCCCTGTACCCACAAGGAGAAGCCCCCAGAATTTGGGACTCTTTAGAGCTGGAGCCAATGCCATTGCTCTGCCAGAGGAGGGTCCTGGTCCCACATGGACCCTCCCCAGCAGAGCAAACCCCTGGGCTGCCAAAGCCACACAAACAGAAGAGGAAACATCACCAGGGCTTGGCAACCCCTCTCCTGCCAAGCCTTCTTGCGGGGCTTGGCTGCCACCAGCTCTCTCCATGCTGTCCCCACATTTTGGGGATGCTTTTGTCTTCCCTGCAAGGGCTGCACCCTGGCTAGAGCGTCGTAGGAGAAGGAATTACAGGAAACCTTCACCTGGATAAGCCACAGCTGTGCTAATTACCAAAACCAGCCTTGCCCTTAATGGGTCACAGGTGTGACCAATAAGGATGAGCTGGCTGGGGGAGGTCTGACCAAAGGGGAGAGAGAATTGCTGCTGTGAGGGGTCTGCTGAGCCTGCAAGGGAAGCCCACAGTGGGAGCCTGCTGTAGTTGAAGTCTGCTGGCTGAGCTGTGAGGAAGAATAAAGCGGGACCTTGCCTGATGAACCAGAGTGTGCATCTCGGCTCATTTCTATCTCTAATGTGGGGTCTGCTGTGACAGAATGTCCCAGAGGAAACCTGGGGGGTCCTGCTCCTGAGAAGGGCTCTCCAGCTCTGATGTTGTGCAGAAGGAAGGAAGGAAGGAAGCATTTTGCTCCTGCTCAGTGCAAGCACAGATTTACTGACACCCCTCTCCTTCCCACTGTGCTCCCATCACCATCCCTGTGCTCCGGCTCTCTGCATCCCACTGCCTCCAGAGACCCCTGAGCACCCTGGGCTGGCACAGCAAAGGCAGCAGGTCATAAAAGCACCCACAGCAGCAAGGAAAGATGGCACAGCCCCAAACCTGAGCTTGGCAGCAGACAGGAGAGCATGTCCTGGGCTCTGCACCCTGTAAACAACCCCACTGACAGAGCTCCCACCCCATGGACCCCCAGCAGCCCCCACAGCCTGCTGAGGTGCCCAGCTGGCTGCAGCCACGTCCCATGGGAAGCCAACCTTTTCAGGCAGGAATTGGGGCTGAGGGACTGGGACAGGAGCCACCAAGAGTTCACTCCAGCAAACAAACAGACGAAACCCAGCAAATTCCACTCAAAACCAAAGCAAAACTCACCCTCCATCTGGCCCAAGGGCCCAGCAGCCGGAGATGCGGACGCTGGAGAAGGCTGGGGGGCTGCTCATGTCCCCCTGCTGCCAGCCCAGGGCTGATCCTGGACCGAGGGTGCCACCCCCTGTCCCTGCCCACACTTCAGCCCCTGTCCCACAGCCTCTGGCACTACCAGGGCGAGGCAGGGGCTGTGCCAGCGGGGCTCCCGGGGTGATTCTCGGGGCACAGAGCCATGGAGGGAGTGAACCCCTGGAAGGGGCACTGAAGGGTCCCACGGGGCTGGGCTGAGGGCTGGAAGATGGCGGCAGGAGAAGGGAGCAGAGCAGGGGGAGTGTCTGCGCCCGGTCAGCAGCATAAGAGGATAGCTTAACCTCCAGATTACGTTCATTACCTGATATTAATAGCACTGGCTTGATTAAAGAAAAAGAGGGGGGCTGGGGATGAGGTGACACCTCCCCTCACCGCCCCCAGCACAGGCAATAAACACCAGCCCAGCGCCTCTGCTCCTGGCACTGGGGGTGCTCGGCTCTCCTGGACCGTGGGCTCGGCAGGGAGGGCACCTGGACAGTGACATCCACGTCCCCCAGCACTGGTGAGTTCCCAGGGACTCCTGCACACCTCTGGGGAGGGGGCTGCAGGGGGGATGAGCCCAGGGCAGGGGGTACCCAGCCAGCCAGCCCCCCTCATGCAGCAGTGGGGCAGCTGGGGCTGGGGGCCAGGGGCTGCTGGCCATGTAGGGCTTTTTGGTTTGGGATTCTCACCTCTCACCCCTCTCCCCTGGCTCCCACTGATCGGGGGTCTGGCTGAGGGTCCCCCCTGGTCACTCAGCTTCCCCAAGAGCTGCCCCTCAGCCCTGGAGTAAACAAGTGAAACTCAACACCCCGGGGCTGCTGGTGGCTAAGAATAACATCCCATGGGCTGTGCCCTCCATCCAGCACCCCCTCCCTGCCAGCTGCCCTTGCCCCCCCAGCCAGCCAGCTCCTCTTCCAGCATCAGCCTCTCTAGGGAGGGCAGGCAGCCTGGGCAAGCTGCAGGAAGCCCAGGGAGCCAGGAGGCTGCCCAAGGGTGGGAGATGGTGGGCACCAGGCAGGGGGGTCCAGGCCAGCCCTGGAGCACGGACTGGGGCAGAGCAGCTCTCAGCCCACAGCCTCCGGCTGCCAAGGAAGGGAGGAGATGGCACAGGGCACACTGGAGGGCAGCCAGGCTCTGCAGGGGCACAGAGCACCCGGACAAAGTCCCATGGC